AATCGAATGGTACCAAAATCGCATAATTCTGATCAAACCTTCGCGAGATAATTAATTTTTTGTGCCCATTATTTTTTTGTCAAATTCGTCCCCTTTTCTTTTTACCAAGCCAATATTGTGAATTCCCATAAAGCATTGTTCGGCGTAATAAATTAGAATATAGTGAAAGCGTAAATAGTAAAAGAGTATGATTTTACCATGAATATAGATAGCTAAATATTAAAAAAAAAAAAACAGTATTAACAAAACTGCAATTCGTATACTACAAAATGGTTTTTCTTATTTTTCTCTATTTTTTTTTTATAAGATACCCTTTTTCCAAAGATGCATTTCGCCGAAACTTCTCGCTTGTGCGCGTCTAACAAGCTATTTTTCAAGCCAAGATCTTGAAAACTCCAAAAGAATCTTACAAAAGAAGGTAAAATAATTGCCCCTCTTTGAAGAGATAGCATATTACCTGGTGGCACTAGTTTTTCATATTCTTTATATTGTTCGATTCGCAACATATTTGTTTTAAGAACGTTGTGTGTTATGACTAAGACTTTGGGAGAAAATTTTAAAAACGTGATTTCGTCGATTTGTGTAATTTATGAAAATCATATGATAAAAAATTAGGTGTGACATCTTGATCGACTGTTATATTTAATATCCTAAATTAATAGAAATACAGTCGTCCCTCATTAATATGGTTCGCTTTCATATTTATGTTGATATGATATTAATAAGGGAACATATTTATAGTTGATATATATGAGGGAGTTTTGATATAATTTTAACATATGGAAATTCATTTTATAGCCAGATTGATATTAACAGGGTTGATATTAACGGGGGACGACTGTAATATATTTAGCGTTATAATTTAACTATTGAAATTCATTAATTATATGATGCGAAAGATGTTAGTCTAGTGATAGTGTTTAATCAGTCATTTGCGAATTATATAGTAAAAGTGCCCGAGGAATCCTTTTTTGTTAAGGCCAGGTGAATTCTTATACTAATATTTGAAAAATAAGCAATTTTTTCGAAACGAACATTTGTTTTGATATTTCCCGTTTGTGTTACGCAAAGTCTTAATTAACTAAGCATATATATATAAATATAAGCTGTGATGTTTGTATGCAATCAATGGTGATAGTTAAGATTTGATATCTACAGTTAATTCATCACATAAAAAAAAGAATTTATTTTTCGCTTCCAGTACACATACCGGGAGAAAAGTTTACTGATATGTACCCGATAGTCTGCCATAGATCCGTCAAATACCTGCAGCATATTTGCAGCATGTTGGTAAGATACGTATCTGGAGGTAGATTGATATCGGTAATATAATAATAAGCTACACTTAATTGTGTTTCCTTTTTAGAAAGAAGTTTAGGGAACTAAAATATAAATTAATAGAAATAGAATTGAGATTGAGTCTAAATTTATTTATTCGTCTTTATGAATTGGCATCATAAAACCAATACTATTGGATTGTTCATAGTGAATTTTGATTTTATCTATTTTTTTTTTCAAAAAGAAAAAATTAACTTATATTTAGAATATTTTGATTAAAAGTGCAGTACTTAATTTATATTATAAATTATATAAATTTTACCTGTATTAATGATTTTTGGAATAAGATCAATGTCTGATGTAAACAGTGAAGAAGTTAAGTTTTCATCTAATTCTGGGATAATCAATTCATTCTTGTATATCTTTTGTAAATTAGTTGTCAAAAATTTTAAAAGCTCAGATGCATTTGGTCTACTTAAACTATCAGAATTCCAACATCTTTTCATCATTTCTTCATAGTCAGATGGAAGTTTGCAATTAATTTCAGGACGAACACTATTACATATATTAATTGCTAATGCAATATCATTTTTATCATGCGCATAATCATATGGAATACATTTAGTAACAAGTTGCCACATTATTATTCCAACACTATAAATATCAGCTGCAGTTGTATAATTAGCGTTAAGTAGGACTTCTGGGGCTATATATGGAAGAACACCAAAGATTTCGTTGTTAGTGGCTTCATTTGTGAACTTACAAAGCCCTAAATCACCGACACACCACATATTTCTAGATGATATAATGTTTCCAGGGTGAATGTCTCCGTGCAAAATATTATAAAGATGCATTTTCGAAAGTGCAGAAACAATATTATGAAGTATGGAATATCTTGTTCTCCATGAAAGAGTAATATCTTTATTTTTTAAAAAATCTTTTAAATCTCCGTCATAAAGGTATTCCAAAATCATCATAAAATTACCACTTTCTGGTTCCTTGGTCAAACCATAGCATGAAACAATGTACGGGCAGTCCAAAGAAACTGTAATATGAACCAATATCTAAAAATAATAAAATATAATAGACATGTTGATTGATTAGTATTATAATTCACACATATAGGTAATATTATACATACGTATTTATTTACCTCTTGGTAAAAGTTCTCACTATGGTTTTCAGGATTTTTCATGGATTTCAATATAACCGGACCAGGCATACCTCTTAAAAACTTTTGTTTATACGCATCCCAACTAATTATTGAACCATCCATCCACTTGGCAATATATACGTTTGCAAATCCTCCACTTGCTTTAATATTAATATTTTGAAACCTATCAAAAGGTACCCATTCAATAACTCTATTTGATCTAGCATAAAATTTAAGTTGAAATTTTTGAATCCAAAAATCAAAAAGCTTATCTCCAGAGGTCCATTTAGAAAAGTTATTTTTGATATGCAATCTAATACATTCGAGGCAAGAAAATTCAGCAGACAGCTCAGATTGGCAACGAACGCATAATGCATTTAGCATGTTTGTCTTTCTTCCATGTACATTTCTTCCTTTAATGAATGTATCTTTAATATATTTTTTTTCTTGTAAAGTAAGCTCTTTATTATCTTGAATAATTTGTGCTATTTGTTCAAAAGATTCGGATTCAAATAGAACCGAAATCTCACGAGTTATTTCCATTACATAATCCAAACGAATATTAGCCAGATCATTGAACAGTGGATCCCTTTAAATTAAAAATAAAAGGTCTAAGATTAAAAAATTTCGACAAAAGATGTTGAAATAAGTATATAAGAATTAAATTAATAAAATTAACAAACATTTTTAATTGACTTTAATTTAAACGACGAAGAAAAATGATTATAAATACAAAGTCAACCACAACATTATTTATGGTGATCTCTGTATTACAGAAACACGAAAAATCGGTCAATACACAACCATAATTATTGTCCTAAGAATGTTCTTAATTGAAGAAATAATTGATAAAGAAGCTTTTGACACTAGTAGTTTTCTTTTTTAATAACTATATTCTATTACATAACTATATCTATTACAATCCTAAAATTATTTAAATTCTTCTCGTAATAATTAAGAATATATGATACGTTTCTTATCAAATCAGCCTAGTCCAAGAAGTATTTTAGGCAATGTCGGTATGTACCGATACACAATGTTGTAGGACGGTTGAACAAAAAATTTAGGTTTTAAAAAAAATATCTACAGTCTAAAGTTTATTAATCGGCTTCAGCTTTTAACAAAAATGGTTAAAATTTACGCATATTTATATTATTACTATTGGTATTATTTTTAAAATAACTTTGCATATAACTAAAAAATTGGGATATTGTGCGTTAACATCGGAAGCTCCTAAGAACAAAACGGCTGGGTACAACACTACCGGCAGACTTAGGTAGCGAACCCACAAAAAACATTTTACTCCTGTGACTTTGGACATTAAAATTCAAGATTAAAATCAGGCGTACTACGATAGTCAAAACAGACCTGCTTTGTATTTTTGCAAAAGTGCCTTGTTTCAATTTTTACTGCTATGTTACACCTGAACTTGATTTGATTGGTCAAGATTACAGGGCTGAGCTAATTAATTTATTGTGATGTTCTAGGGGTTCGCATGCGTGTACCACTTAGGACAAGTTACAAGTAAGTAGTTCAAAGTAAATATCAACTCATTTTGTTCATTCAAAGTTAATAAAGAAATTCTTGATAAAATTTTACATTTTGAAGAAATTTAGATACAATTATACAGTAGTGACAATAGCAACACTGATTAATTTCTGTATTATTGTATGAATACAGTAATTCATGGACAAATATGAAGATGAAATTTTATATTGCAATGAAGCGTTAGAGAGAGATCCAAATGATATACTCATGTTAAATCACCGAGGATTTAATTATTACTTAATGAGTCAATATGAAAAATCTATTAAAGATTTAAATAGAGTATTGGAAATTGAACCTGGTAATGTTGAAGCATTAAGAACTCTTGGAATAGTTTATACTAAATTAAATCAATATGAAAATGCACTCTCTAATTTAAATAAAGTATTAGAAGACGATACTGTCGCATTGACTTTTCGTGTTCACACTTGTGCTGAGCTAAGAAAAATTGAAATCGCTTTTAATGATTTAAATATATTATTAGAAAATGATCCGAATAATGTGCTATTCCTAATCAGTCGAGGTTATGTATATATCGATATGAATAGTTATGATAAATCTCTCATTGATTTCAAAATGGCTGTAGAACTTGAACCAGAGAATGCATCAGCATTATGTAGTTATGGAGAAATAAATCACAAGTTGGGGAATTATAAAGAAGCCCTCAAGTATTTTAACAAATCATTGGAAATTAGACCAAATGATAAGACTACATTGAAACTTCGTGCACAAACTTATAGAATATTGAATCTTCATGAAGAATCTGTTGCAGATTTTAAAAATGCTGTCACATTAGAGACAAGTAGCAACTCAACTACCGGTGTTGAAAAAATTGATTATGTTCTAAATTATTATGAAATGTATTTAGCACAATTTAATAAATCTTTAGAAGAAAATCCAAATGATCAGGAAACTTTAATTTATCGTGGAGATACCTTTCGTATTTTAAATAGATACGAAGAAGCACTTGCAGATTTGAATAAAGCCTTGGAAATCAATCCGAATGATCTATTAGGTTTAAACATCCGAGGTGAAACTTATCGACAAATGGGAAGATATAATGAATCACTTGCCGATTTAAATCGAATATTAAAAATTAATCCAAATGATGCATCTGCTTTAAGACTTCGTGGAGAAATTTATTATGCCCAAAATAAGCTTCATGATTCTCTTGATGATTTTATAAAGTCATTAGAGATACATCCAAATAATTCGTTTGCTTTAAGGTCCTGCATAAAAATTTATCAAACTTTTAGTCAATTTGAAGAGTCTCTCAAAGTATTAAACAAAGCGTTAGAAGATGAACCTGGAAGTATGATTGCATTAAGATTACGTGGTTATACTTATTATCTTATGAAAAATGGAAAAGAGTCACTTGAAGACTATAACAAATTCTTAGAATTTAATTCAAATGATGAATTTGTGTATTACTTAAGAGGATTAACTTATTTCATGCTTGAACGATTTGAAGAATCTCTTGAGGACTTTAATATTACATTAAAAACTATACCAGACGATTTACCTGCTCTATGTTCACGAGGAAATACTTTTCTAATGTTGGATCGTTATGATGAATCTCTTAAAGATTTAAATAAAGCTTTAGAAATCGATTCAAATTACGTGCCCGCGTTAATAGTTCGTGGAAAGTGTTTTATTTGTTCGCAAAAATATAATTTGGCCCTTACAGATTTAAGCAATGCGCTTGTTATTGAACCAGATAATTTGATAGCTCTAAAAGCACGTAGTGAAGTTTTTAAAATACTTAAACTTTATGAAAACACACTCACTGATTTAAATAGGATGTTAGAAATTGAGCCTATAAATATATTTGCATTAAGTGTTAGAGGTGAAATTTACCGAGTAATGGAAAGATATCAGGAGTCATTAAATGACTTAAATAAATGTTTAGAAAATGATCCAAATAATACAACATCGTTAAAAAATAGAGGAGAAATTTATTTAAAAATGAGAATGTATCAAGAATCACTTGCCGATATTAATAGTTTACTTGAAATAAATCCGAACGATTTATTGGCTTTGACCATTCGAATGACAATTCATCGAGAGATGGGTAATTATGAAGGATCACTTGTGGATATTGAAAATTTTTTAAAAATTGATCCAAATAATATAAATATATTGAGTGCTCGCGGCGGAATTTATTTTATTATGGGAAATAAACAAAAATCTCTTGAAGATTTTAATAAAATATTAGAAATCGATCCAAATAATACAGCTTTATTGAAACAACGTGGAGAAATTCTTCGCCTATTGGGGAAATATAAAGAATCACTTGAAGACTTTAATAAAGTGTTAGAAATTGAACCAAATGATTTATTAGCTTTGATAACTAGAGGTTCAATTAATATGATGATATGTGAATATAAGAACTCCCTTGAGGATTTTAATAAGACATTGGAAATTGAATCGAACAATTTATTGGCTTTAACACTTAGAGGTACAATTTACCAGATGATAGGCAATTATAAAGAGTCACTTTTAGATTTTAATAAATTACTAGAAATCGAACCAAATAATATATTAATATTAAAAAATCGTGGTGAAATTTATCAATTGATGGGAATGCTTAAAGAATCGCTTGATGATTTCAATAAATTATTAGAAATCGAACCAACTAATGTATCCTCATTGAAAAGTCGAGGAGAAATCTATCGACTATCAGGAAAATTCAAAGAATCTCTTGAAGATTTTAACAAAGCATTGGAAATTGAATCAATAGATGCTTATACACAAGGACTTCGTGGAGCAACTTTGTATATGCTTGAACGTTATGAAGAGGCATTGGAAGACTTTAATAAAGCATTAGAATCAAAACCAACTAATGTATTCTGTCTTGCATATCGTGGAGCACTTTATTTAAAATGCAAACGGTACAACGAAAGTCAAAAAGATTTGGAGAAGGCAATTGAATTAAATCCAAATGAACCATATTTACATTGGCAACGTGGATCACTTTATAGATTAACAGGAAAGTATAAAGAAGCTTTTAATGAGTTTATTGCACTAGATGATTTCAAGCCAAAATGTGAATTGGACAAATTGGAACAAGCAGAAGCGCATTACGATCGTGCAATTTTAAATAAGATGCTTGAAAAACATGATGAAGCTGCAACAGATCTAAGAAAAGCAATTGAACTGAATCCAAAAAAAGAAGTAAAGGATATCATTGACATAAAATGTCTAAATATATATTAGGGAACAATAGTATGAACCTTATTTTTTTTAAAAAGTTATATTTAAAGATAGAGACATAAAAAAATTTGCAGCGAACTTAAATAAAGTAAAAAAACCTCATTGTAGTCACAAATCAGCTATAATCACTATCACCATAAAATTTGGCTTTTTAAATCAAATTAATTAATAAAAACCTCCTCATAATCACTAATTTAATACTTAACTAAATAGAAACTATTGTCGCGGATCATAATGAAATCGGATTAAAATGAAATAAGGGTTTCTATTTAACTTTCTAAAACCTACTAATTCTTGTTTATTATAAACTCTACCTTAAAACTAACCTCTAACCCCTAACCTAAATAATACACTCAAAAGTTTTTATTTTTTGATGGCTTGTCTACTTTTTACATTGTGCTTTATTCCAATTTCATTTTAATCTGTCAATCTAATTAAAATTATATCTACTCATATTTGAAATTTACTATTAAGAATCTAAAATTTTTAAATTGTATAACTTCTGTTTTATCAGCTTGATTTTTATAAAACAATTACCAAAATTTTGTCATGATTGTAGAAGTCTTATCCAGTCAAAAAATTTGTATTCGAATATTTATTTGTTTAATACTTTTAATATTCGAATATTCATTGAATATTGTATATAGTATAAAACAATTTTATATTTTATTAAGGCGGCCGATATACATACCCCCAATTTTGTTATTCGTACCCCCTGTAGAATAACACTTTTTTTAAATTTTGAGCGAAACTATCTCGACGCCCACCAAATCAAATTCGATGAATATTTTTTATTTACATTCTACAGATTCGTAGAATTCAAATAAAAAAAATTTTATCGAATTTGACTTGGTGGTTATCGAGATATCTTCGCTCAAAGTTTGAAAAAAAAAATTGGCACAGCTTTGTTTTGAAATACATTTTGAGTTTTCTTAACTTTGTGCGAAGGTATCTCGTCGACCACCAAGTCAAATTCGATGATTTTTTTTTTTATTTGAATTCTATGAACCTGTAGAATGCAAATAAAAAAATTTATCGAATTTGACTTGGTGGTTGATGAGATATCTTCGCTCAAAGTCTTAAAAAAACTCAACGTCTATCAAAATAAAGCGGCGACAAACTTTTTCTCAAACTTTGAACAAAGCTATCTCGATATGATAACCACCAAGCCAAATTCGATGAATTTTTTTTTATTTAAATTCTACGTATCTGTAGAATGTAAATAAAAAAATTCATCGAATTTAATTTGGTGGGTGTCGAAATATTTTCGCTCAAAGTTTTAAAAAAACTTTGGCGCAGCTTTATTTAATAGACGTTTTGAGTTTTTTTAAAGCTTTGAGCGAAGATATCTCGTCTCCCTCCAAGCCAAATTCTGTGAATTTTTTTTTATTCAAATTCTACGAATCTGTAGAATGCAAATAAAAAAAATATATCAGATTTGACTTGATTGTAACAAAATATTTTTGCTCAAAGGTTTAAAAAAAACTCAAACCGTCTATCAAAATAAAGCTGCGCCAAAATTTTTTTTAAAACTTTGAGTGAAAATATCTCGACAACCACCAAATCAAATTCGATGAGTTTTTTTTATTTACATTCTACAGATTCGTAGAATTCAAATAAAAAAAATTCATCGAATTTGACTTGGTGGTTATCGAGATAGCTTCGTTCAAAGTTTGAGAAAAAGTTTGGTGCAGCTTTATTTTGATAGACCACCAAGTCAAATTCGATAAATTTTTTTATTTGCATTCTACAGATTCATAGAATTCAAATAAAAAAATTCATCGAATTTGACTTGGTGGTCGACGAGATACCTTCGCTCAAAGTTAAGAAAACTCAAAATTATTTCAAAACAAAGCTGCGCCAATTTTTTTTCAAACTTTGAGCGAAGATATCTCGATAACCACTAAGTCAAATTCGATAAATTTATTTTATTTTAATTCTACGAATCTGTAGAATGTAAATAAAAAATATTCATCAAATTTGACTTGGTGGGTGTCGAGATAGTTTTGCTCAAGTTTAAAAAAAGTGTTATTCTACAGGGGGTATGAATAACAAAATTGGGGGTATGTATATTTGGCTGCCTTTATTAATAATATTATGAATAATTAGCTAGCTAATAGTTAATATATAAAATTAGAAAAGTCTAAAGCAATTTTAATTATTTAAACAAATATAAAATCACAACTTATTAGTATTTAATTTAGGATTTTGTTAAATTTAGCAGGTTGTGATATCACAGGTTAATATTTAAAAAAATTTTAATATTATTATTAGTTAAGGTTAGAGTTCAAACTAGTATTAAGATTAGTGAGCATATATATATGTAAAATTAAGTATTAAAAACTTTTAATTAGAGCCCAAGACTAGTTTATATAATAAAATTTTAATATATGAGGGGTGTCAGTAGAAACTAGACAAATTATTTCCAAGTAAATTTTTTTTAGACTTTAAATTAAAATACTGTCTTCCTCCTATATAGTCATCTTCTATATAATCATATTATAGTAAAACCCTTTTTATAATCATGCAAGATCTGCAACACTTTACTAATAAACTTATAAAAAAATATTTCTTTATAAGCACATTATAGTAAAAGCCTTTATATAGTTACACAATTTGCATGATACAGACTGTATGATTATAGAGGAGGACAACAGTATCAACAAATATTAAACTAAACTTGATAAAAATTTTTTTATTTTAATGCTATTTAGATAAATAATTAAAATAAAAAAATTTATTAATTTTGGTTTAATAGTTGTTGAGATATTTTAATTTAATATTTTAAAAAAAACTTACTATAAACAATTTGTCTAGTTTCTACTGACACCCCCATATTTAAAATTTTTGATTTTTTTGTAGTTTTTCTAATTTTTCATTTGTTTTTGTTATACAAGATCTAATTGGTTAATCATATTAACCTGCAATATAGAAACTTATAATATTTAACAATATTCTTAATTTAATACTAATTGTCACGGTGTTTCTTAATACCCTATGTACTTGTAGCAGTACCCATGTGATTAGTGATTGGGTACATAATCAAATATTGTGATCAGAGATATGCATGATCCTGATTTAATTAAAAGTCTAAAAATAGCGTTGCATAAACAATGTAGCAATTAGAAGCGATTAGTATCACATGACAATATAGCAATCAATAATGATTAGTAATTAATATGTGATTGCATGAATAATGTAGTAATAAAATATGTATTAGTAATAATATATAAGGCATCGATCCAAATAGAGGAGATACCAAGTTTTAGCTTTTACTTCGTGAATAAGCTTCATTCTTAGTGAATAAACTATTGTATCTGTGTGAATATATTATTGGTGGTAGTATCTGGATGATACTCTAGTCATTTCATAGAGAAGCCAAGTGAGTGAAAACTAATAGGAAAATTAAAGTAATACACATAGTGTTGCTAAACTATGTGACACTAATTATTAAAAAATAAATATACTATTTAAAGTCTGAAGAACTAAATATAAAAAATATTAAACTAATTTTTTATATTACACTATACCTAGCCAATAAGTATCGACTGTTTATTGTTTTAATTGTTTCCTTTTCATGTTACACCTAATCTAGCCAATCAAAATCCAGGATTTGTTAACATACAGACATCAGATATACTATTGCTCTATCTGTAGTGTTTTTCAGACAATTAAGAAATGATATCTACTAATAAATAATTTTATAGTTAATAACTAAATAAATATTTATAAATTAATTTAATACAAGTATAATAAATATACTAAAATTATTATATTAATTTTGGATTTAACTAATTAATTAGATAATTTTAATTATATATATATATTTAATGAATATTCAATAAATTATTTAATAAATAAATTAAATATTTGAATATTCAATTTAGTGAAAAAATCTTATTCAAGTATTTGAATATTTAGTAAATATTTGAATATACTATTTATCAGATCAGATCTCTAATGATGAGACAATTCTAAAGAGACCAAAATTGCTAAAATCTATTTACAAGTTCTTAAGATTATTAAATATTTGTATTATATCTGAAGTAATACAAATTCTTAGTAATTAATAGGACTCGTAAATTGGATTTTATCTATTTTGATTTTTTTATAGTCACTGTATTAAGTTTAACATTTTGATAGTTATTTCGTAAAAATTAGTCAAATAGATCTAAAATTAATTATTGTTAAAGATTTAAATTTTTAATAGTAAGGGTGTGGTGACTTAGTGAAGTGATCTAGTTGTCACCTCGCCAAGTAGCAGATTGAGAGTTCGAATCCTACAAATGATGATTTTCAAATTTAATCTTGTGTTATGGTGACTATCGTCCACATCAGAGAAAAATGCCTATAACCCGTTGGCATACCAAGGATTGGCAATACTAGAACCTGGAAGATTTGGGGTATTGTGCAACCCTGTACGCCAGGGAAGTACAAGGAATGCTAGCTGGTTAAATGCAGTGCAAACCCATGATAAGTCCAACAGATCAGTGCATATAAGGATGATTATCAGATAATGGAAGTCTACTTGGGAAGTTCCGAATATGGTATTAATCACCAGGTATGCCTAGGGGGCTGGCTTTGAAGGAATACAAACTGGTATACTGTGTCTTCTAGGCGCACAATAGGATAAGAGATGTAAACACAAGATAAATCCATATAAGGGCATAAGCACTTGTATTTAGAAGTAGGACTAAATACTCAACTATTAAATTACATAAGCATTTAATTAACAAACAATTAA